TCCATTTGCTAGTCTGTTTCTCCCGCTGTAGCTATCTAGAGAGTCTTTGTATGTCTTAGCTATTCTATCCCCGACGTAATTTTTAGTGGTTCCTGTGTCGATGAGCGCTCTGTATGTTCTTTGCCCTATTTTCAGCGATGCGAATAGCCGAATGTCATTGCTTGCTGGCTGTGTAACGGCGAAAACGAATGGAGTCGAATCTTGCTTTACAGACTGGGACGACTCCTTGTTTCTCCAGTCTGTAGTTCGTTTCCCTGACGCCTAAAACAGCAGTCGCTACTGTAAACCCCTTCTCTGCCGCAACGCGAACAAAACTTTTTCCACGGGTTTTTGCAGTTTTTACGGATGTGACCTGGCATCTTGCATCTAAAGCATGTCGTTTTGGCATCGTACTCTGCTTGGTCCGTGCGTCTCCAGTTTTCCACGGCAACTCTGATTTGATCGGTTCTTTTCGTCTTCTAAAGCTTCGTAGTCTTGAGCTAAATCTTGTAATTCGGCTAAGTTTTCAAAATCTCGGCGGCGAGCATAAAGCTTATATTCTGGTAACAGATTTTTGTATATCCTTTCGAGTTCTTGGTTTCTGGAAAACGATCCTTCTCGTCTGGTTAGTGTTTGAATCTCCGTGATATATCTATCTACCGCTCATTTTGTCTCTGTTTTCTGTTTCGGATTTGCTCCTCTAGTTGCAGCAAATATCCTCTGGATAGAAAGCTTTTTAAAATCTTCGCTGAAATCTGCCATGACTTCCAATTTTTGTTATTGTTTCTGTACCATAACAAGCGTGGTCTCCTAATAACTCTGGTAATGCTCTTAATAGATCTTGTTTATCGATCTCGTAGGCCAAGCTTAATTCGTCTATCCTCTCTAAGAATCCTATTGCATCCGAATGTTTCTTGTCGAAGTGTGTGTTCCACCTTCGTACTTGATTTAGCAATTCTGATTGCCCCATTTGTTTCGCTATTGTTAATTCTTGTAATTTGTAACGGGTAACCCGCCAATTTGTAACGGGTAGCTCTTTCAGGACGACAGACTCAGTAAAACACAGGTTAAAATAAAAATATGTCTATTGATCTAATATATGTACAATATATATGAAAATAAAATAAAATAAATCCTGTGCCGTAGAAATTAACTCTGCGCTCCGTCTGGATCCCACGATGAATGAATCCCCGGCGGACGCCTATAAAAGAAAGAAAGAAAATAATTATTAATAACAAATAAAATAGGTGTAGTCAATCGCACTCAGACGTATATTCGCTTCCGCTTCAAACCAGCGGGAGCTGCGAACACACTCGTCAACTACAAAATCGCTTATGCAGGTCCGCGATAAAGTTCAAGACACGATATCGGTAGACTTTGCTTAATTATGGACGGAGCATGAACTTCAAAGCAGAACTACCTCCGTCCGGTGTGGGCTCGCCAGTTCAGGACACTGGCGAAGAGAGGAGCCTAAGGCGCTAAGCTAAAGACCGTCAAAGGTTATTGAAAGTAAATCCGTAAAATAATTTTCGAAACCAAGTTCAAATATTTGCTTTAATCTGTGCCTTCTAAGAATTGCAAGGCAAAACAGACGTTGATAACGATATTATTAGAGACATGGGGAATCTAAAAATTGCATTCCACAACATATCTCCTCAACTAAGCAAAAATCCTTAGCGAATTGGTTTCTGTACTCGTACAGAGTATATCAGAATAAAAGGAAAAAGGCAGTTTGGATTTGATATCACGTATAGTGCGTCTGTGTATCCGCTTATACGTATTTCGCCCTAACAGGGCTCTTCAGAACGGCTATTCACAGTCGCTCTGAACGTGAAAATAAATCTCTTCTGTCTTACAGCCAGTTTCACAAAGTAAAGTTACCTTGCGGTTATGAGATAACCAGCGGATGCTCTGAAATATAGGTTTCACAATATAAGGTCAACAGCTCGGGTTGTGGTTAACTTAAAAAATTGTAATCCAAAGTTAAAGCAGTGGTTTAGAGCTTGACCAGGATATCCTAATCTAAATTCTAATTTCGTTTTGTTGACATTGACAGAGTGTAGACAGACACGTAAATTATTAATTAATCAGTTATGGATTTATATGATGTAAATGCTTTTAGCAGTGATGAGGAAGCTGGCAGACCAAGGATCATTAGGCACAGAACAGATCATTTTGAAGAACTAGACCATGAAGATTTTTTCTGTCGGCTTAGATTCTCAAAAAACACAGTTGAATACATTTTGAAGCAACTTGAAGATACAACTTCTTATTTTTATATTTCATGCATAAAAAAATAAGTAATTGTTCCTCTTCTGACGAAAAGTTTGCCGATCTCTTAAATATTTTGTGGGTTTTATTTTACAATTTTAATTTTAACTTGAAAGAACAAACAACGACTACTTAGAACAAACTACCACACTAGAACAGTACTTGAAAATGAGAATAATATTTATATATTGTTTTTGACCTAACGTGACAAATGTGTCATAACTCATCTGTGCTGGTCAATGTCCATAATATTTACTGACGATATTCCATAAAAATCTGATTATTGCCTATAATTTCCTACCAATATAAGAAAAATAAAACGAAACCTAAGGTTAAGTGACCATAACCGAATCTGTGAAAGTGAAACGGCATCTGTTAGTTAAACTAGGGGTAAAGTCTACTTAACTCCTAGGGTTAACCACTGATTGTGAAACTGGCCGTTAGGAATCAACTTTAGCATGGCTTTGTATGGACGTAAATAGCAACATCTGATATTAAATTCGTAAACTAATTTTCGAAACCAAAAAAGTTATTGAAAGTTTTTATGTTTTGTTAAGTATTTTCTGATATGATTGATGCTCATTTATAAAGTTGATAATGACAATTTATGACAATATCAATTCGAGTGAATGAAACTAAAATAGTGCTATATCATCCGGCAAGCAACCGACGCGGCGCGAGTCCTGGTCGAAAATGGCAAATGTGAAATGGACGACCGAGAGGATAAATGTGAATAGATGGATCAAAACTAAAATTACGTACAAAACATCTCATATTAACATGGAACGTACGTGGATTGTTAAAAACCGGCAAACTACATATCTTGGAGCAAGCACTTATCAGGAAGTAGTAGATATATGTGGAGTTTCTGCAAACCGTTGGTCAGGCCAAAGACACTGGGAATCTAATCACTACAAAATCTTCATGTCGAAAGCCAACAAAACTGGTCAAAAAACTATAGCAATACTGGTCCAATAGAACCTCGCAAAATATGTATACGAATATATCTCAATAAATGGCCGCATAATTAAAAGACACGATGCACAGTCAACAAAGATCCATGTACTACATGTATAAACAGCATGCGATTAAACAGATGAAGAAGTTGACGAGGTATACCAGTTAATAAACAGAATCATCGCTAATATACTCAAGAAGAAACCAGTCATAATATTGGACGACTGGAATTCAAAAATGGACAAAATAACCTCAGAAGATCAGCTGAAAGGAACAGTTGGAAGGTTTGGAATACGCGAGCGAAATGAGAGGAGAAAGTCTACTAGTTTGTCATCGACAGTGAAGTGAGTATCATGAACACGATGTTTAAATATCACCTGCGAATGTTATCAACTTGGACTTCACCGGGGAAGTTGTCAAATGACAAATATTTGTCGGAAAACGATGGAAAATGTAGAATTCTAGCCGTTACATCAACGAACGTGTCCTTCTCAACCATGACCCTTCTCTCGGAAAGATATTCCGCCATCAACGGTAATGAAATCTGGAACACAGCGAAATGTATAAATCATTGGTGTAAGCTCACTTTCACACCTATCTACACGAAAAGTTCACCAATTTACTGTAATAACTACCTTACGATTAGCTCTAATCTCCTACGCAAATTAATTATTCTTACTAGAATTAACGACAGATTAAAATCAATAATGTTACCACAAATCTCCAAGAACAATGTGGATTGGTCCCTGTAAGAGGCACACGAGAAAAAATTCTCAACCTAAGTGAAACAAATTATCGAAACATCTAGTTAATCTAGAAACTTATTTGTTCTTCGTAGACTACTCGAAAGCGATCGACAATGTAAATGGGCATAAAATATGGCGCATACTAAAAGAAATGGGTAACCCCGAACATCTAGTAAACCAAAAAAAGCAACTGTATGTCAACAACTAGCAAACGTAAGAGTAAATATATATTTCGATAATTTCAAACTAACTTCAACTAAAAGCCGTCGTTGGTCAAGGATATATATATATATATATATATATATATATATAATATATATATATATATATATATATATATATGTATATATTAGTATATATTATATATATTATATATATATATATATATATATATATATATTATATTCTCCCCTACGCTATGCAGTTTATATAGCGAACACATTATGTGCATTGTCTTCGATTGATGACAAGGAGGAATAATAGTCAGAGGGCTATAAAATAATAATAAAATCAGCAATCTCTACTAAGCTGACGACACATTATTACTATCATCATGAAAAGATCAACTTAACACATTAGATAGGTACTATTAGTCAAGAATATGGATTTAAAATTAATACATAGAAGACCAAGTTAATGATCATTGATCGAACTAGATATAACCAGTGGGCTAGGCTCTGTTATCATAAACCATTGAGGACACGAAAAAGAAACACGTCGACATCTTATAAGATCAAACAAAGATAGATTGTAAAATAACTGAAGGATAACTTACTACTTTGATGGTTAGACCAAATAAACAGCACCACTGGTTACTCTCTCTCTCTCTCTCTCTCTGTGCAGCACACCACGCACAGGGGATAGAAGAATGGATAACAACCATACATCGAATGTCATAACGTACCTAAATCTTTACCAAGGATAAAGGGCAGAGAAGGGCGAAAAAGTTGATGGTATACTATTTATTCACCAGCTGTATTGTAACATGTATATAATTTGTGCGTTTTTGTTTGTGACATAAATTAACAATTTATATTGTTTTTTTAGATAAAAATACGAAGATTCTAGCTACAGGTGGTGCTTCCAATAATAAAGCAATTCTTCAAGTGTTGTCTGATGTATTTAATGCCCCAGTGTATGTACAAGTAAGTAATATGTATATAAATGCTTTTTCACTCTTTAGTAAAGCGGATCTTACCTTTGCAATTCTCACTCGTATTTCCAGCTCGTTCAAAAACATGCCTATATTTGATTTGCATTATGTATCCTTTGACGTCAATACCTATAACCTTTAATACCGACATTTGAAAATAAAGAAAATTATAGAATCCTGGCCGTTTTCACGCGTATTTCTATACGCAAACTGTTAGCTGTTTACCTATTTTGTTGTAGCGGCCCGTAGCGAAGTGGATGTTACTGGCGTAATACGCTGGAAGGTTCGGGTTCAATTATTCTTGACACTGACAAATTTTTACTCTTTCTAATTTAAATAAGTCGCCACCGTGCTTTGCAGGGCACGTAAAGCTGTCGGTCTCGGCGATGTAAGCGGTCCTTGCACTGTTACTGTGATTAACATCATGCCTGAGCAAAAGGTACACACGTCTGTTAAGCAACGCATTATTAATTTTTTGTCGCACGAGGGCGTAAAACCTACAAAAGTACTGCGTAACAGCACAATTCGCCGAAAAAACGCCATTTTTTCTGACCCATGCACGCCAACCGCGAACAAGTACCAATAACACGAATATTCTTACGATACGTGAGGTAATTGAAAGAATCCGCTGTTTTACAATACGAATTCTGGTATGGGAGTGTCCAATTCATCATTTCAGATGATTTGGGTTACCCGAAAAGTGTCAAGATTCCTCGCTTATTGACTAAAGATCAGAAAACAAATCATCTTGCTGTATATAAAAGACCTTGGCACGATATCGAACTAAGAGGGATGATTTCTTGAGATAAATTGTTACCTGTAGTACACATGGATGTTTAATTACAGTCAGAAGTCTAAGCAGGCACGCATCGCAATGGCAAAATTCTAGAGAAGCAGCACCGCAGAAAGCCCTCTTTCTGTTTTAAAAGTTCTTGTAACGAGTTTTTGGGATTGTAGCTCTACTCGGCCAGACACAGCTGTATTAAACCTAAAAAAAATCGCATAAAATTAAAAAAAAAACCCTGAAACATTCTTCCTACCGTCTGTATCTGTAACCGTATGATGACATGTTTGGGACACCTAAAAAAAATTTTTAGACCATCACTTTGATGAAGACCATGATGATGTATTATTCGCAATTGGTTACAGACGCCACCAGATTCATTCTTTAATTGCGGAATTAAAAAAGACAAATACGGTGTATTCAAAATTTTATTTACATAATCTATAATTTTTACATGTAAATCTTATATATCGAAGATTCTAGAGAAGATAGTGTATTTGCAGCAATGCTAGAACAGGGATTGATTTTTTAGACATGATTTGTCCTTAATCTAATTAGAAATGGCAGTTATTACTGCTCTTAAGTATTACAGCTGTCGGGGTACTGAATCACTTTGGTAACCATGCCATTAAGTTTTCTGACGTGGCAGTCTTCCGTTGATCTTGGGCCGTTGCAGAAGTGGTTCCCAATAAGCAGAAGTGTCAAAAGACCTCCTTGTATGGTCGTTACAGAACTCATCGTATATCTGTTCTTCTTTTCCACATAATTGTACAGTTTGGTTCAAAGATGGTCAATAAGCTGAAGGTCGGGGAAGAAATTACCAGAAGGTGGTTAATGGCGAGTACATAACTCATCGCTTAATGTCTTCTTCTTTTCGTCAAAGTGGTAGAGGCTGACACTGTTTGAAATTTTAGCTAGAAATAAATTTGTGCGTGAGAAAAAATTTTGCCTTGTATCGACCTAATACGATCTATTAGTCATATATAATGGTTGCAAGACCCGTAATTAAAATTCAGTAATAAGAGTTGAAAAAATCAAGGTCCACTCCAGCTGTTGACATGATGCTAGACCTCCCACTAGATATAAATGTGAGGACTGCTAGAAAATGCATTTAGCCTTATAGAAGATGAGTACCTAAAACCTGGTGATACTGGATATCTGCAGTTTTAAGGGTTGGTCATAAATGACGAGTTTATACAAAAAAAATCGCTCAAATCACAAGAGGTGCTCTCACTTTTAATATTGAGGAATCGCGGATTTTATTTTTCTTCATTTGTGCTCCTTTATTATATTAATTAACCATATTCATAATTATGATCGCGCTTTTTGAAAAATATGTTCTGGAGCGCTAGTATGGGCATATTTTTGTCTTATTCTATTCACTATTAGAGGGTTAATTGGTATATTAATTTTTACATTCATGTGATTATTTTTAAAAACTATTTTACCATTTTTATTTATTGTATAGTAATAACGGTATGTATTAAAAATGTTTATATTTTAAATATTCTTTTTCAGCATGCTGCAAATTCCGCTATGTTGGGTGCAGCATACCAAGCTAAACACGGTTTGTTTTTCGGTCAAAAATCATATCATGATGTCATGTCTCCATTACCCGAACCAGAACTGGCCTGCACACCTTATCAAGACGCAGAATCAATTTATATACCAATGGTACATAGATATAGAGCCATTGTAAAAGAACTCACGGCACAATAATCAAACAAATAAAATATTAAACATTAAATGTATTTTATTTTTGTTCCTTGTTTTTTATAGTAGGGGTCGTCTTATTTGTTTTGAATTTCATTACCGACAATTAATAGGAAAGTGGTATTATATACTACAGCCAACTATACTACTTTCGTAAGTATAAATGGGTTTGAAAACTACGTTTCCAAATCTCCATCGCATAATTATTTATGGGAGTCTTGAGTTATCCATCCTCTGGACATGTCCATACCATATCAGGTGTTTTCTTTCTGTCTGTTGTTAGAGAGCCGTCAACCCCCATTTCGCTGTCTTATCTCATCATTACGTATTCTCTCTCTGTGTGACACTCGTACTGACCTCCTAAAAGCGCCCATTTCTACTGCCTCCAGTTTTCTTCTGTTGTTTTCGGTTAATCGCCAAGTTTCTGTTCCGTACAATAGACAGCTTTTAATAAGAGATTCGTAGATATTGTGTTATATTCTTTTCCCCATTTCATTACTCCACAGTATGCTGTTTAGACAACCTAAATTTTGTTTGTTTTTTTCTGTATTAATTTCTAGTCCCCACTTTCTATATAGTAGTATATACTACTATCGATAATTTAAATTTGTTAAAAATGTTTATTAGAACATTTTTATTCTGTGATTAAGTAGTAAGGGAAAGTAGCCTAATTTCGGATACCATTTACAATTAGTGTCATATTTTTCACCTAATAACACATTTTAAACTTTTATCTACTCAAGAGTACTTGCAGAGTAATATAGAAACTAATTTTATTATCATAGACAATTTATTGAAAATCTTTTTTACAAAAAATATTGTTCAATAAAATTAGTGCTTTTGTATGTCAAAAATTTTAGGGCTCCTAATTTCGGATACCCTATCCGAAATTAAGACACCATTTTGTTCATCATAAGAATAGTTACACATCTTGACAAAAGTCGCAAATATAGATTTTCTTCTTATCAACATTGGCGCACATCTCATGACACCACTTGAAGCACTTTATACACCTTATCCACTTCTCACCGTGTGTATCTTCGGAATATAAACTGTCACAAAACATACATTCTGTGTCTCCATCTTCATCGTCTACATCCATATCAGAATCATCATCCAAAATAAGGTCATCACCAGGATGTGAAGTGTCACTACTACTCGATTCAATTTTTTTCTTTTGCTTTTTTTGGCGTGGAGTTTTTTTTCTGTTGACTTGATTTAATTCGTTGCTTATTTTTGGTTTCTTTTCTTTCAAAGACTTTTTTCTTTCTTGTTCGGCTACACTTCGTTCAAGTTCATCTTTATAAGGTGTACTAGTTATTATCCAACTAGAACCTTTTCGAGGATTTTTTTGTTTGTTTGTTTGTGAGGTATAACTGCAAGAAGGCAGTGGACTAATATCCTCAGCTCTTATCATAGTTGCCGTAGTTTCAGTTGCATTTCCATTGGATGATTTATTTGTTAAGTTATGTTTTGGAGGTGTTCTTTCGATAATGCTTTGTGGTTCTGGTCTTGACTGACCTCTTGTTGGTAATACTTCCCCATGATTTTGATTTATGGCTGGTGGTGGTTCTTTCTCTTTGTCTCTCCATTATAAAATCGTGATCAGAAAAGTTATTTTTATTAAAAGGATATATTCCAGATTGCTAAAACCATTCGCGGAAATTTTCTGCAGTAGCACTTTTCAAATATGCCGGGCACATAAGCTTACAAATTTGATACGAGTTTATGGTGCGTCCAGGATTTTGCCTTAACCACATCTCAATTTGTTGCGAATAATATGTTTTAAATGGTGACATAAAAGACAAATCTAGAGGTTGTAGTTTGTGTGAACTGTGCGGCGGGATACACAAAATTGTAACGAAATTTGCACGTCCTGCTTCTATCACATCTATATTTCTTGTGTGGCTGTAGTGACCATCAAGAATAAGCAGCACTGGGTCTTCACGGGATGGTTTCACGTGAGCTACGAAATGCTGTAGCCATTGGGAAAAAAATGTTGCTGCTGAATCCAACCTGATGGATGGGCAAGCTGCAATAGAGCCAGGCGGCGATCCATCTAATAATTCCACTTTCATGTTCTTTCTTGGAAATACGAATAATGGAGGGACAAACCCACCAGCAGCATTCATACAAAATACAACAGTAACTAATGCGCCTCTTTCAGTCGCGGTAACAGATCCAACCTGTTTTTTTCCTTTTAATGTTGTAACACGAGTATTCTTCGACTGAACCGTTGTTATGCCCGCTTTCATCAACGTTATAAACTCTTGCGGGGTTGAAGTTAACTTTTTCCATTGACGTTTCTAAAAGATCATAGAATCTGCTGACTTTTTCTGGGGTAAATCCCTTAATTCGGGCTTTCGAGATTCCTTGTGGTTTTCTAAGGGACAATAACTGCGTTTCGCCTCATAAATCTCCTTAACCATTTTTTTACCGGCAGATTCGGCAATGGGCAAATGGATGACGAAGACCATTTCGTAAAGCTATTTGATATGCAAGTCCTCTTGATATCAGCGGTCCCAATTCCGTAAAATCGCCGGTCCATTTCTTAGGCAATACGAGACTAAATCTGCTTCCATTTTCTGCAGAAAGTACTGGTCTTCTTCCAATTTTAACAGCAACCAACTGCTCCGGAGTTTTATTTTCTTGCTTAACATAATCTTCCAGAGTTGATTTCGGAACAGCAAATAACTTCGAGGCTTTAAGATACCCCATTTCCTTTCCCCTGACGGCACGGATAGCACGTATCATTCGGTCTGGATCCCATTGTTTATTGTTTTTTACTTGTTTTTGGCATTTTCTTCTGAAAAGAAACAAAAAGTTTTTATGCTAACATGATCAATCAATTTAAGGTTCCTAATTTCGGATATCCGAAATTATGAGACTTGTACTATCCGAAATTAGGAATTTTTTATTTTTTAAGGTTAGGGCTCTCTAATTTATATGTGATTAAAATCTGCTTAAATTAGTAGCAAAATCAAATAAAACAGGTTTCTAGCTTACCCCTGCCAAAAGATCAAACTTCAAACAGGAATAAAAAACAGGAAAAAATAGGCTTTGAAATACGACCGAAAAAAAAAACTGCACAATAAACGTTTGGTGGTTTTCGGCACTGCCATCTAACGGGGAGCAGCTCTCTACTACCTAAACAATTTAAGATAATGTTCTCTGTGGTATTCAGCGTGACATACGTATAGGTTTCTGTTCGCAAATAAAGAAACTTTTTAGATACACCGCTATCCGAAATTAAGACACTATCCGAAATTAGGCTACTTTCCTCTACTAAGCAGTACTGTTTATATGTTGCCAACGTGCTTACGGCAGAAAATAGTAACGATCTCCACAGGCTATATGTATACAAAGGATTTTCTTACGGCAGTCAAGGTCTCCCAGACTCATAAGTTCTTGACCTTTCTATGTTAATTACTGTTATTGCTTCATCAACGCCTTCACGCAAACTTCTTCGAAGTTGCCCTCTTTCTTTCTCAAGGGGGAATCCATTCTAATATTCTTAAGAGCCACCTGTTTTCCTTCATCCTCTTTAAGTATCCGAACTATGTGAACTGCCTTTTCTCAATCTCCTCGTGTATATTAGGATCTAGCTTCATCTCATCGCGTATTTCTGATCCTTTGTAGTTTTATTTACAACTTCGTCTTAAATAGTCTATCTCTGTCATTTTGCTTTTTATTAGCTTTGGTAATATCCCAAATATTTTCAAACCGTATTAGTATAAGCTTTGTACAATAGTTAACGCTCGTACCATTACTCTACCCTTATTAGAGGACCCTTTCATATTCGCACTTTGTCCATTTTTTCAGCAAGTGAGAAAAACCGCTACTCAACGATTAATAAAGTTAAAATAAAAACACAAAATATGAATAAACGTATATTTGTATTATCAATTTATCAGACTAATTAATTTTTTTTTCAAAAAAAAGATCGCTGGACAAAACGCCATTTGGCTGTCTTTAAATAACAAAATGTAGTTTGATCGTCCCTAAATGAGTAACATAAAATAATGAACTAAAAAAACTCACACTGACATGTAGGTCATCCTCCGAAAACAAAAACATTCTTCCCATCTTCACATTGATCGCAGGTCTGATCTTTTTGTATTTTTATTTAATTGTATTTTCACTATACTTCTCTTTCAAAATAGGATCTAACCAAGTTAACTCTGGATCTAATTGACATTCTTTGCCCTGATAAACTAAGTAAAAATTTTGATAAGCCATCTAGTTTGTTCTTAACAGCATGCTTTATCGGCAATTCTGACAGTACTACTCATTTTTTTCTGTGGTTCAATTAAAACTTTTTTAAGAAGTCAACATTTCTATACACTACCTTTGTTTTATATAAGATTTTACTTACCCCAGCAATTTGCTTGCTTCGAGTTATGATTATTCTTTGGCTTTCCACCTATAGTCGTCTCTCGCTACTGGACAAAATGCGTTTTGTTTGTCTAGGTGATTTTTGTAGCTAAACATATACGTGAAATATTACGTTTAGAATATCTATGAGTATGTAAATTAATAAATGTTTTGACGAATCCAACGACACCTCGAAGTGGACGAAGTGTGATTTGAAAGTCTGCTCCTCATTTATTCTCACTATGATTTCATCTTCAGTTTCCTTTATTGAAAATTACCCCCAAATATTTTCAGGTTTGTACACCCTTGATTTCTTCATTTTATACATCGGTTACTTAGTCATTGCCCATCACTAAATATTCACAATTTTATGCCAGTCACTTCGTATTCTCGTAAACAACACGGAATGTTGTAGTGATCGCAGTTATTTTATTCAAAACTAGTAAGAATAAATAAAGGACTATACTCAAAGTCTTGGTGCAATCCTATTGATCAGTCTCCAACACTAGTCGTTTATTCCCTCATAAATGCGTGTCTCACAGTCTACATTTCCACCGATGAATCTGTTCCTAGTGTCCACCACACAATCTCTCGAAGAAACATTATGGTTTCTCAAGATAAATGAATATCATACGAGCGATTGCTTCATTATTT